TTAACTGTTGAGTCTTTCTGTCGTTTTTCTTGTTATTGGGTTCTACTTTTATTACACTGTGGCTTGATAGAATACAAAAAATTACTGTGATTGTTTCATGTTTGTTAAGACTTCATCTGTAGCGATTATGTGATCAGTTTTGGAGAATGTTCCATATGTTGCCAAGAAGAATGTATTCCCTCTGTTGAATTGAATATTCTATATACATCTATTAAGTTGCATTGATCCATGGTATATTTTAGCTCTGAAGATGCTTTACTTAATTTTAGTTTGAAAGACCTATCTAAATCTAAGATTTAATAGTGGGGATACCAAAGTTCCCCACTATTATTGTTTCAGGACATTCATTCACAGACTATTATGCAATTTATTATTTATGTTATGAAATTATGGACCCCTATATTTAGTGCACAAATATTTACAACTGTTATTTCTTTTTAAGATTTTATTTAATGAGTCTGGAGAGGTGGCTCAGTGGTTAAAAGCACTGGCTCCTCTTTCAAAGAACCTGAATTCAACTCCCAACACCCACATGTTGCTCACAACCATCTAGAACTCCTGATGCCCTCCTCTGACCATCCCAGGCAATACATGCACATGATTCAGGGATATTAATGAAGGCAAAAATAACAACAAATATTTTTAAAGATTTTGTTAGTTCGTGTGTGCACACATGTGCAAATGAGTGTTTGCACTTGTGCGTGCATGCACATGTGCATATGTAAGCATATTTGTGTGTTATATGCATGTCTGTTTGTGTTCATGTACACATGAGTGTTCATGTCTGTGTGCATGTGTTTGTGTATGTCTATATATCTGTCTGTGTTCATTTGTGTGCATATCTGTGTGCGTGTTCAAAAGAAAGAAGTCACCACTGGTCCTCTTTAGTCACTTTCCCACCATTTAATTTTTTTAGAAAGGTTATCTCAGTGAACTTGGAGCTTGCTAGTTTGGCTAGACTAGCTGCCCAGCAAGCCCCAGTGATCCTCCTGTTTCTGCCTATGCAACACCAACATTACAGGACTATGTCGTCATGCATGCTTATTTTTTAAGACAGGGTTTCATGTAGCCCAGAATGGCCTTGAACTTGCTGTGTAGCCAAGGATGACTGAACTTGTCTTTCTCCTGCTTCTACCTCTGAAGTCCTAGGTTTATTGGTGACCACCACATCCTTTTTTGGTTGGTTGGTTTGTTGCTGTTTGTTTGTTTATATGAGTCCTGGGGATAGAACTCAGGGCCTCACACTTTCATGACAAGCACCTAGCCCAACACATTTTTATTATAACAAGCCAAATGGAATTTACTAAGATGATAAATAGATAAATAGATATTACTTTTTAATTCATTCTATCAACTTCTGTTTTAATAAGAAACTCTAATGTATTTAAAATGCAGCAACTAATGGTGAAGGGTTAGCCTTTGCCTATTGATTTTAGCTGTTTATTTTCTGAGTCATCTTCACAGTCTCTCTCTCTCTCTCTCTCTCTCTCTCTCTCTCTCTCTCTCTCTCTCTCTCTCCATTCCTCATCTCCTTTTATTCATTTATTCTTGTTTCTCTTCCATTTGTGTGTCTGTGGTATGTGTGTGATGTTTTGCATGTGTGTCCTTGTGTCTGAGTGTGTGCATTTGTCTGTGGAGGCCCATGACTGATATCAGGAATCCTCCTCAATTGCTTTTCTACCTTATTCATTTAGGTAGGGTCTCTCAATCAAACCCAGAGCGCACCAGTAAGACCAGTATTGCTAGCCATCTTGCTACAGAGGAATTCCTGTCTGCCTGCTGAGATTGGAATTACAAGTGAGCTGCCATGCCCACTGGGCATTAGTGGATTCTGAGACTAAATGAACACTTCATCTTCATCTGAAAATCTATATACAAATTTAAAGAGAAACTCCATTGATTATCACCCAAAACCAGGAGTCTGTCTGTTGGTTGCATGGACAACCAAACTTTGATAGATGATACAGTAGGAGGAGAGACGACTCTGCAGGAATAAAAACAAACTATTGATACAAGAGCTGAGGTGAATCACCAAAGCATTGCTCTGAATGAAGTAGCCCTGCATGCAGGCAAAGAATACGTGCTATATGCTATGAACTGAGTGTTAGTATCCCCCAGAATTAATACTCAAAGCCTGAACCTACAAGATGGCATTTGGAAGTGTGGCATTGGGAGGTGATACCTTCATGAATGGGATGAGAACCCCTCTCTCTTTTTTTGTTTCCTCTTTTTTTCTTTCTTTTTCTTTCTTTCTTTCTTTTCTTTTCTTTTTTTTTTTTTTGTTTGTTTATCGAGACAGGGTTTCTCTGTGTAGCCTTGGCTGTCCTGGAACTCACTCTGTAGACCAGGCTGGCCTCAAACTCAGAAATCCGCCTGCCCCTGCCTCCCAGGTGCTGGGGTTAAATGTGTGCACTGCCACTGTTCGGTGAGAACCCCTCTACAAGAGCCATGACCAGCTGAGCCCAGCTGAGCTGAGTGATGCCATACTCACTAACTCAATCACTAACTCACCAGGCTGAGCCAAAGAGACCCGCCCACTGAACTAATTCCAGATACAGATATCCCCAGGCAAAAACACAAGCAATGAGGCAGGATCCCTCTTCCCCGAATTACTAGCCCCATCGAAATGTATCTCAATTAGGAACTTAAATAAAATCCTAGACAAAGATTTTTAAACCATGATTATAAGTATGTTCAAAGATATCAAAAAGGATACAAACTTCTGAATAGATCCAAAGATGATTGAACAGTCTCCTAAATGAATTCCAAGAGAACATACACAACTGAGGAGCTGGAAGGATGGTTCAGCAGTTAAGCACCTACTGTGCTCATAGAGGACCCAAGTTCTGTTCTCAGCGCCCACACGGCAGCTCACAACAATCTGTAACTCCAGTTTCAGGGGATCTGAAGCCCCCTTCTAACCTCCATGGAAGACAACAAGCCAGAGAATGATAAAGGAGCCAGAAGATTAGAACAGATTGCCAAACTTAGTATGAGGCCAAGCAGAGCAATTCAGGCAGAAGCCAAGAGAAGCCACTCAGCTTGGAAGATTAGATTGTATGGAGCCTAAAAGCATTCGAGCCTCAGCCTAGAGAACAGTGAGAACAGAGAAGAAAACAATGCTCTGAGCTCAGCCCAGACTGAGTATTTGCACAACTTGGGTACAGCCCTCACCTTATCCATCATCTAAGGAAATAAAAGCTACATTTACATCTCCCTATGCTAAAAGCCATTACATTCCATTCCTCAAGGTTCATTCCCTTATTTGGCCACTTCCTCCTGAAGTTGACCACCAAAGTTCAGCTGTCAAAGTATTGAAGTCCATTAATCAAAAGCCACTTTGGCTCACCTAATTAACATGCCCAATTAAAATTAAACACCTCAGCCGGGCAGTGGTGGCGCACGCCTTTAATCTCAGCACTTGGGAGGCAGAGGCAGGCGGATTTCTGAGTTCGAGGCCAGCTTCGTCTACAGAGTGAGTTCCAGGACAGCCAGGGCTATACAGAGAAACCCTGTCTCGAAAAACAAAAACAAAACAAAAAATAAATAAATTAAATTAAACACCTCATCCTAACACAGGGTTTCCCCTTTCCCTTTGTAAACTCCCATTTGCCTATGAGTGTGTTTCCTCTCTACCCAGAGGCTGTAATTTTTCCCTCAAGGCAAATATCCCTTCCCCTTTTCCTCCTTGAACTGTCGTTATCTCTTACTCTACCCTTTGTCCCTCTGGAGCAAATAAATCTCCTTTGTGCTTAGAACTTGGTTAGTGTACCCTATGCCATCCTTCATTGCATTTAAAACAAAAATGACATGGAAAGATGGCTTAAATTATGACTTTTTAGTACAGCTTTAGAACTCAATAATGTAAATGGTTCTAAACCTGTCGGTCATGTCCCCTTTGGGGTTGAAGAACCCTTTCACAGAGGTGGCCTAAGGCCATCAGAAAACAAATATTTACATTATTTTTCTGGACAGTAGCAAAATTACAGTTATGAAGTAGCAACAAAAGTCATTTTTGTGGTGGGGCTCTCCATAACATAAGGAATTGTATTAATAGGTTGCAGTGTGTAGGAAGGTTGAGAACCACTGCTATAGAGTGTAAGTTGAAGGAAGACCTTAAAGCCAGGCACGGTGACAAATGCCTTTAATCCCAGAACTTGGGAAGAAGAAGCAGGTGGATCTCTATGAATTTGAGATTAATCTGGTCTACATGGCAAATTCCAGCCAGCCAGGGCTTCACACTGAGGCTTTGACTTTAAAAAAGAAAGGAACAGATTGAAGGATGTATTAGTCAGCTGAGGGTCTGCTCCTTACCTCTGTGGCTGTTGTTCTCATAGAGTTTTCTTGTGTTCAAAACATCTGGTTGTAGCTCTTCTATAAGTGCATCTCATCCCATTCCTGAGGGCTTCACCTTCACTGCCAAGTCACCTCCTAAGGTCTCACTTCCTAATGCTACCATATTGTGAGTTTCGGCATTTATAAGAAATGTTGGAGGTATAGATAAACACTCAGTTCATAGCATATAGTATGAAACTAGCTGATTGGATCAGAATACTGCATGCATCTTTTTCTATCTCCAAGGAAAACACTTAACTACTGAAAGTAGACAGAACCTTACGGTGAAAACATAGACAAAAGTATTCTATCAAATAAGCCCAGGAAAAGAACAGATGTCACTACTCTAATATCTGATAAAACATAACTTCAAATTAAAATTAGTCAGAAGAGATAAAAAGGCCATTTTGGATGGACAAAGGGAACAACCCATCAAGAAGACACTACATGTCTAAACATACACACCTGGAGATGGATCAGTGATTAAAAGTACTCCTGTTGGCCAGATGGTGGTGCACACCTTTAATCTCAGCACTAGAGAAGCAGGCAAAGGCAGAGACAGGCAGGTCTCTGTGAGTTCAAGGCCAGCCTGGTCTTTAGAGCTAGTTCTAGGACAGCCAAGGTCAGGGAAACCCAGTCTTGTGTGTTTATCAGATGTTTCTGTTATACTTACCTGGCAGGGGAAACACCATGATTATCAAGATGTTTTTTCGAGGGCGAAGCTTATCCATTGCACTTGCAGGTGCTGACCCCTTCAATTTTTCCAAGTGTGGGAAACTCAACTATGTAATTTGTAGTACTGGGGGACTGTGTTTGTGCCCTGCCCAGGTTAAGAAAATGTTCTTGTAGAAGACCTGCCTGTGTTTAGTTCCCAACACCCACATGGTGGCACACAACTATGGCTATGTCTACAGTTCAAGGGGGATCTGAGGGCCTCTTCTGGCCTCTACAAGCACCAGATATGCATCTGGTGCACAGATATGCAGATAGACAAACACTCATATATCTAAACATCTCCAACATCTCGGAGTCTTCACGACTTTATGCAACTCCCTCTTGGGATTTCACACAACCCCATTATTCATGTATGCTCCATGAATCCAACGTCAGTGTCATGTGCACAGTACTGTCGAGTTTAGTTGCTAGTTGTAGAAGTCCCTTGGCTAAGTCACATTTGTAGGAGCAGACAATCTCTCAGCCTTCTCACAGTTGGCTTGGCTGGGCAGGTCGTTGCTTGAGGCCAGCTTCCCCGCGCTCCAGTGCTGGAGGCCCCCACTTACTCTCCTTATCTCTTTCTGTACAAGCCTTGGCTGCAACATTCATTTTCTGGATACCTTTCTTTTTCAAACTGTACACTTTTTTTTCCATTTCTTTCTTCTCCACTTGCTCTTTTTCACTGTGTAATGGGCGAGATTGTTGATAATTAGACAACAGAGTCAACATTAGACTGTCTTGACATCTTTCCCGCCAAAGAAATCAATTGATTACTTTTACATTTAGCCTCAGGCAGTGGACCTCCACATCCCCTAACCAGGGCAGAAGAAGCCATATATTTTCACCAAAATATCACAAGAATGGCTTCTAGTCCAGTTGCTGTTATCGTTTCCTCTGAGACGTCTTGATCTGTGCCTCTGCAGTCCTCCTTGCAGTCGAAATATCTTCATTGAAAAGAGGACATGAGGACAAAGCAGCTCTGAGCTACATGTGATGACTATTCTTCACTGACACCTTGACTGGAGTTATTACCATCTAACAGACTGGAGGTGTGCTGATGAGGGGATTTCCAGAGATTAATTGATGGGGGAAGATCCACTATGACTGTGAGAGGATCAACACCATGGGCTGGGGACCCAGACAGAACACAAAGGAGAAAACCATCTAAATGACGGCATCCTTCTCTCTGCTCCCAACCATACTGTGACAGCTCTGCCCAGCCATGCCCGTCCTCAAACTATGGATGGACTGACATCTTTAAAATAATGAGCCTCAATAAATTCCTTCTCAAAAATAATGAGGTTGAGGAAGATGCTTATATTTGGCTTGAGAACTGGAAAGATGGAGAATTTCTTGGGAAAAACATGCAACAGTGGGCAGAGGGAACGTGGGAGGGCTTCTGTGATGACGGGCTAGATAGGGAGAGCAGAACGCCTGGGCCCCAAAGACAGGTGGCCTGCACACTCTTTTCCCTGCTGTCTGCTGCAGCGCTGACCTGAATGTAATCCACAGCTCCCTCTGTGACTAGGAAGAGGACTCATTGCCTCCAAGGTGACATGAATAACTCCTGACCACTTATGGTGGTCGTGCTTTTTACTATGATGACAGCTGATAGGTCATTGACCCAGTCTCCCAATGGAGCATGAGAAATCCTCTGGGTGGCTCCTTATTCTCAAATACAGAGAGGACCTTAAGTCAAACTAAGGAAAGCTGAATAGAGTATGGGCTTCAGTAAAGAATAGTGTATTGACAACGGTTTGCTGATTGTGGAATGAGAGTATCACATTCTGATAAGAAGCTAATAATGAAGGGGCACTGTGGACTTTTCCTAGGACTTGTACAAAATACCTGACAGAATCACCTCATGGGAAGGGTTTATTTTGGCTCTACTTTCCTGGCAGCGTAGCACATTGGTGTCCTTGGCAACTGAAGGGACTCCTGCCTATTAAGACTTCTATCTCGCCGGGCGGAGGTGGCACACACCTTTAATCCCAGCACTTGGGAGGCAGAGGCAGGTAGATTTCTGAGTTCGAGCCCAGCCTGGTCTACAGAGTGAGTTCCAGGACAGCTATACAGAGAAACCCTGTCTCGAAAAAAAAAATGTTCTCATAATTCTGATAGCAACAGCTGGCAAGTCACACACTGAAATCTCCTATAGGTTAATTCGACCACATGCCACATAAGCACTGATTTCTAAATTAGAATCTTACATGTCAAGCATATCAATACATCAGTTCTTTAAAATATTTAGGACAGGAATCTAGAGAGATGGCTTAGCTGTTAAGAGCAATGCCTGCTGTTCCAAAGGAGCCAGCTAGCAATCATCTGTAACTGCAGTCTCTTGGAATCCAATGCCCTTTTCTGGCTTCCAAGGGCACCAGGCAAACGTGTAGTACATGGACATATATGCAAGGAAAACACATAAAAAATAAAAATAAGAAAAAATATTTAGATCAGGAAGCAACTTGATATTAATGAAGACCACTAGGCCAGAAATTAAAATCCCAAACTAGGTTTTTGAGAATTACACAGAAAGAAGCAGTAACTATTGAGTATCATGTACCAAGCCTATTCAAAGCTACATACTGTGACTGCATTTTTTGGCTACTTTATTGGGTTCTTCTAACTACCACCCTTCCAACCCTCAGCACTAGGTAGCAAGAAAGAAGGTTAGAAGGGAAGGGGCTCATAGATCTCTTAAGACAACTTCCTGCTGATTAGGGGCATTGAGTTCCTAGGGTCAAGTCTAGTCTTTGTCATCAAGATATTTTCAACCAATAATCCAGCAAAATAGCAAACCAGCAATCCAGCAAACACAAGAGCAGCAGCAGGGGGCAACAGGGGAGAAGGAGGAGGAGCAGGGGGAGGAGGAGGTTTTGGTTGGTTGGTTGGTTGGTTGGTTGGTTGGTTGAATTTTAAATTTTATTCTATGTATATAGATGTTTTGCCCACACATTCCACATGTGTGCAGTCTCTGCAGAGACCAGAAGAGGATAACAGATCCTGTTGGGAGCATCATGTGTGTGCTGAGAATTGAATCTGGATCCTTTGAAGAGCAGCAAGTGCTCTTAACCATTGAGCCATCTCTCAAGCTCCTAACTGAAGTGTTTTGTCAGTCAGTGTTCCCACTTAACTGTTATTGCCCCTCCAGAGCTTTTAAATCATTTATGTGGTATCATACCTTATTAATCTGTTTTACCAACCATAGTTTTTTTGCCTGGCTCCTTGCTATCTTGATATCAGTTCAAAGGTCCAGCCAAAACTCCTGATTATCTGGGAAGTATGAAAGGATCGTAAGGCACAAGGTTCAATCCCCAGGAGCAAAAAGAGAAAAGGAAGTTGGGAGTCAGGGGATGTATAGGACTAAATCTGTTATAGACAGACCAATCCCAGGAGAAGGAGAAACAACTGTTGGAAGGAGTCAAAACAGTGTGCAGACTCAATGAGATGCCTCAACTGGCTTTAACTAACCCAGTGGTTACACAAAATCTTTGCTCCTCAAACTTTACAAGTATACTTAAATAACCTGGAGTCTTGTTCAAAGGCAGATCTGGATTCAGGAAGTTTGAGATAGGGCCTGAGATGCTACATTTCCTGAATCTGCCGTGAGACACACCTGAAGAGGGCATCAGATCCCATTACAGATGGTTGTGAACCACCATGTGGTTGCTGAGAATTGAACTCAGGTCTTCTGGAAAAACAATCAATGCTCTTAACCACTGAGCCATTTTTCTAGCCAGAGATACTACATTTCCAACACACTCAGAAATGCTGCTGCTGCTGCTGCTGCTGCTGATGCTGCTGCTACTGCTGTTGCTGCGCTAGGTCTGGAAACCATACTTTTGAGTAACAAAAATATATTAAAGAAATATTAGGACTGCAGAGAGGGCTCAGTCAGTAAAATGCTTGCTACAAAAGCAGGACAATCTGAGTTCAGATCCCCAGCACCACATAAAAGCCTGGCCCAGCAATATGCAAGCATGCCCCCCCAACCCCCGCACGTGTTGTAGAAATGAGAATTCTAAGTTTCAGCGAGCAGCTGTCTTAAAAACTAAAGCAGAGGCCGGGTGGTAGTGGCGCACGCCTTTGATCCCAGCACTTGGGAGGCATAGGCAGGCAGATTTCTGAGTTAGAGGCCAGCCTGGTCTACAGAGTGAGTTCCAGGACAGCCAGGACTACACAGAGAAACCCTGTCTCGGGGAAAAAAAAAACAAAACCAAAAACAAAAACAAAAAAACAACTAAAGCAGAGAGCAAAAGAGGAAAACACCTGAGGTCAACCTCTGGCCTCCACATTTATAGATATAGACAAGTGCATTTATACACACGTGCACATATATGCATACACCTCAAACATGTAATGGAACCAAAAGAAACTTTGAATATATTCATATACGTGAAATTCTGTGAGAGTTTGTGACTGGTAGTACTTACAGTCAGGAGTGAGGTAAACCATATATTGAATAAATCTTCTACCACAGAGCAACACCTAGCCTAAAGGTACTGTCATAGCTATAGTTCCACTTTGTACTTATGTGATGGTAACACTATCCACTAGATACAAGATGAGGAACAGGTTTGGGTGGATAGATAGTAATAAGATAACATTTATTGGGTATATAATATACTCTGCACCAGGCTCTTTGTGTGTTATTTTATTTACTCTGTAGGACATGTTTATGAGGTGGGTATTATTGCAACCCTTCATAAGCCTGAGGAAATTGAAACGAAGGTCTTATCGATTAACTACTGGTAGTTTGTATGTATATAGCTAATGTAAATGTGGGAGGTCACATAGCACTGCGAGGTGCCGTAAGTACGTTGATCTGGGGCTCAAGAAGAGTTATTCTTGGGCCAGTGAGATGCCTCAGAAAATAAAGGTGATTGCCACAAAACCTGACGACCTGAGTGTGGTTACCAGAGCTCACATGGTAGAAGATGACAAATAATTCACTGACTTCTACAGCCCTGCTGTTTTAGCATGCCCTGTCCCCCACCTCCACCACCCCACCACGCAATAAATAAACAAGTGCAAAAACAAAGAGAAGAAAGTTGTTCGGAGCCAGGCATGGTTGCACACGGACATTTAATCCCAGCACTCTGGAGGCAGAAGCAGGCAGAGCCCTGAGTTTGAGACCAGTCTACAGAGGGCTAGAAAGAGAAACCCTGCCTGGGGGGTGGGGGCGGGGAGGAGGTGGTGGTGGCCGTGGTGGCAAAACACACCAAAGAGAGAGTGTGTGTGTGTTATCAGAGCAACAGAAATCTAGGAGGAATTAAGACACTGGGGTAAATGAAATGATACAAGGAGAATCACAATCAGACCTTCCAACAGCTGCCAGGCTTGTTTTATTTCCCTTTAGCATTTAGTTACTACACAAATTTTTACCAAGAAATCTGAAAATCAATATTTAGGGTTTTTCTCTTTCTTTCTCTCTCTCTCTCTTTCTTCCTTCCTTCCTTCCTTTCTTTTTTTCTCTCTTTCTTTTTTTCTTTTCTGAAACAGGGCCCATCTCCTGTAGCTCAGACTGGCCTCAAATTGTTTTGTAGCCAAGAATGACCTTGAACTCCTGACCCATCACCTCTACCTTCTGAGAGTTCCCTCCAACTATTGATGTCTACCCCAATTCTAGTGCTGGTTTTTAGCTTTTTAAATAAGTAAATTTATCTTCTGCTAAGATATTATTAGTTTGTTCTTTATCCCTAAAATGTAGCAACTTTTGGCAGCTGGAGAGATGGTTCAGCAGTTAACAGCCCCTGCTGCTTTATTTTTGGGATATGTATAGTTTGAACTATTATTTTCTTTCTTGTTTTTAAAGACAGGGTCTTAGTGTGTAGCCCTGCTGGGCAAATGATGTGATTAAAGGCATGGAATACTATCCTAGATTATTTTCTTTCTTAATGGATTTGATGATTTTGTAAACTTTCCTAAAGTCCACTTTTTATATTGCTGACTTGCTCTTCTGTGTCATCAGATAAGTTTACTGTTTCAGCTGCTAATTGTATGTTGGTTAGTGGGATTTTAATTTCATGATACTATCCATCTTTAAAAAATACATTTTAGTAGAACCATGATATTAGGTGCCTTCTGAAATAGATTCTGCTGAATGGATTAATACATTTTGAAAGACTAATAAATCCAAAACCTAAGGCTAAGTATGCACTCCACCACTAAAGGACACTCCAGTTCTTCAATTTATTATTAAAGATTTACTTTTTTATCTTTGGAATTGCCTAGTCATTCTTTATTGATGTCTAGAAGACCAGACTTGATGTCTCTAAGTTAGATCTCAGTGTTGGCCACACAGAAGTCTGCTTGCAGGGAAGTACCTGAGAGACAGTGGTAGTTACCCACAATCTCATTATCTCTGCTTTTCTGGGCACCCACCAAGTTTAAGATTCCAATTTCATTTTTCAGTTTAGTGGTGTTTGTGACTGGTTCTGACCCATGACATCAAGCTTGCTTTCCAAATCTTTTTTTTTTTTTTTTTTTTGGTTTTTCAAGACTGAGTTTTTCTATGAGGCCCTGGCTGTCCTGGAACTCACTCTGTAGGCCAGGCTGGCCTCGAACTCAGAAATCCACCTGCCTCCCAAGTGCTGGGATTAAAGGCGTGCGCCACCACTACCTGGCATTGTTTTCCAAACCTTGTTCAGATGTTTCAGCCAATCTAACTGTATTGTGTTTCAGTATGCCAATCTGTGATAAAATTTTTCCTCGGGAGACATAACACTCATCTCCTCACTACAAATAGGAGCTCACAACAGACCAAAGTGTGGGTACTGCTGAAGTTGAAGAGTGTTCTTCCAAGTAAGTTTGTCTAAACTACTACCAGGGACCTGGCAGGTTTTGCCTCTTCCAGGTAGCTGGTCTCCAGAGTCTCTGCAGCTCGCCTGAGCTCCATGTCAGAGGGACTCTCAGTGTCTATTGCTTACCCTGGTGGGAGCAGTCTAGTGAATCTGGTCAGTTTCAAGGACTTCCTGAAACTCTTTTGAGTTTTTTTTTATTGGTTTTGGGTTTTTTGAGCCAGGGTTTCTCTGTGTACTCTTGGCTACCCTGGAACTCACTCTGTAGACCAGGGGGGCCTCCAATCCATAGGAGATCTACCTGCCTCTGTCTCACAAGTGGTGCAATTCAAGGTGTGAGGCTCCATACTGCCTTCCTCCTTTTAGTTTTTTACCTTACTATTTAAGGAGCTTCCCTTCAGTGTTAGCATTCTTTCTAAACTCCACCTCCACAGTTACCTGGCAACAGCCAGGTATGCTCCACCCCGAAGTTACCTGCCAAGAGCCAGGTAGGCCAACCCACTATAAAGGGGGCTGCTTGCCTCCTCCACTGTCTGTTTCTCTCTTGCTCTCTTAGGCTCTTCCCTTCCTCTTTCCTTTCCTTATCCCCTCCTCCCCTCTCTCCACGTGCTCATGGACGGCCTCTGCTTCTCTACTCTCTCCTTCTCTGCCTCAACTACCTGCCTAACTCCCCTCTTCATGCCCTGAATTAACTCTATTCTATACTATACTGTCATGTGCCTGCTCCCTCATGGGGAAGAGATGCCTCTGCATGGGCCCACTGAGGCACCCCATTCCCCCATACCTCACCACACCTCCATAGAACATAACCCCTCTGTCTTTATCTTTTTATAAACACATCATATGGTGCCGTGACACATGGCTTTTTATTTCTTCACAACACTAAAGTACAAATAATGTATTTTGTCTGTCTTTTCACTCTGGAAGTGTGGCTGACTCCAATGCTGTAGGTATTCAGCAAATCTTCTTGAACAAACCTCTAACTAGGGGATTCAATGTCTTGTGTTTCGGTTTCCACTTATTTATGTCTCACACAGTTAGGTGTGTATCACAAGCTAAGAAGGTAGATATATGTAGTTAGTATAACAAAAGTTATATTTTATTATGCTGAGTGTCGTCATGCAAGGTTTACACTCTAATGAATTTCAAACAGTCCTAAGCCTGTCTCCCCAAGGCTATACACCTGTGTGACCTCTCAGCTTCAGTTCAGGTCTAATCTCTAACGGAAGTCTAATTTGAGTCTAACAAATCTCTAATTTGAGGGTCAGGATCCTGGGGGGGAGATTCTCTAGCAACAGACCAGATCAAGGTGCATCTCTCCAGATGTGTACAGCAAAGCATTGCTTTTGGTCTCTGCTTATATTCTGTCCAATGGGCATCATGGGGTTCTAGGACTGTATCTGGTTATCTTGCGTGAGTGATGTCACTGGGCTCTAGTTATCAGGAGCAGCCTTGAGTGCTGTGGGGTTCCTGACTAATCTGTATATATGTCTAAAAGGCATTTCTTTTTATTATTCTCATTACAGGGTGAAAATATTTTTCTGGGTCTGGGTCATGCTTTTTGGTTTCTGTCTCACTCCAATGGTCTAAGTTCATCAGAGTGCAGAATTTGGGCCACGTATTCCTAGAGGTCTGTCTCTGGGGTCCCGTGGCTGGTGTGTAGTGAATCCTCTGGTCTCAGGCCAAGTCCCTGGTCCCGTGTGAGTTCGTTCTGGACCAGGCACAGCACTGGGACAGTGGTGGGACTCTGTGGGGTCGATATGCCTAAGGTCCAAAGTAGCTTTCTAGAGCTACTCAGCGCTTGGTTCTCTGAACGCACGTGACGTCCCTCCCCCACAGCCGCAGTGCTCCTGCCTTACCCCGGCTGCTTCCGCCGGCCCGCGAGACTCCGCCCTCTCTGCCAGGAGAAGCCAATCATCACGCACGCCCTTGGCTCCGCCCTAGCGCCCTTCGACGCGAGCCCTTCCCTCCTCCCACTCGCTGCCCGCCCGTCAGGCAGGAAGGCAGGCAGTAGTTCCATCCGCAGTTGGTTCTCTTCTCTGTGTTGTCCTCCTTCCTCGTTCACGATCGCCGGCGGTAGCGACTACACGGGCGGCGGCGCGGTTCCTGCGGGAAACGCAGCACAAGCCGAGAGCGGCAGCCGCGAAGCGTTGAGCCCAACGCGGCGGCGGCGGCTGTGCAGCCAACATGGCGGCGGCGGCGGGCCCGGAGATGGTCCGCGGGCAGGTGTTCGACGTCGGGCCGCGCTACACCAACCTCTCGTACATCGGAGAAGGCGCCTACGGCATGGTTTGGTGAGTGTCTGCGCTGGTTTGCAGGCCTGGCCACACGCGGTCACCCTATGCCCCCAGCCTGTGGCTGATCTGGACGCAGCCGCGGCCCTTCCCGCGCCTTGGCCTCGCGTTCCGCGGCGCCCCAGACTCCTGGCTTCTCCTTGGCTCGCACTTCTGGAGCTCTGGGGCGGGGTCCCGGAGCCCGTCGAGGCTTAGGTGTTGCCCCGCTGCTTCCTGAGCTGACCCTCGTTTGCAGTTGGAGGGGCGTCCCTGACTGAGGCCAGGACTCGAAGACTCCCGGTATTGGTCTCAAAGCGTACTTTCGAGGCTTCTCCCTCGGGACGGGAACGGAAGTGCACCGTGTCCCCTAATTTATAGCATTATACCCGCCGCCTTTTGACATTAGATTAAAACCAGGAATTCCATTAGATGCTTGTCGGTGGTGGCGGCGGCCATGGTTTTGCAAGCCAGAATAATGGGCTTGTGTGCTGAACACTAAAATATTTTTCTTCTCTCCTGTGTACGTGGACAGCATTCACAAAACATCTAAAGTAGAGCTAATGATGCGTTTTACCTCAGGCTTTCTAAAAAGCATTAATGACACATAGTTGGTTGTGGACATATTGAAATCTTGAAGTTTCAAAATGGATTTAAATATCATACCGATTGTTTTTCAGGAAGGATAAGCCAGCATCGTTCTTAGAATTACTAAGAAGTATTTGGAGTTAGGCCTAATTTGACTTTAAATTACCCCGTCGTTACCCTCATGAGTACTCTCTTAACAGTGTAAATGTATCCATACGTTTTAGCCCAATTACTGTGCTAGTTTACCCTTAACGTTTTAGTGTTCAGTATATATACACAGCCCTAATAGTGTTTTCAGGGTCACTTGCAGGATTTCTTGCATGTGGAATGACGAAGTGTCTTAATTGTCTTAATTAAAACAAGTTCGTTTATCGAAGGTCTCTGAAATAGTTTAATTTTACTTGGATAGCCATCTTGAGGAAAGAGAGGACACTCTTTTCCAGATAAGGTATTGAAAGGAGGTCTTTTTCCCAAGGGCGAAGAACTAGAATCAGGCTTTGCTATACAAAGATCCTGTTTTAAATGCTTTAGCTCTTCAGCTATTGCACATGCCTTTCCTTGATTTATTAATAATCTCAGGACTTCAGTATATTTTCCCTGATGAACAAGTCTATTTCAGAAATGCATTCAAATTTGAATGGTCATAATTTTAGAAATGCCAGAAAAGATGTGTTTTCACCAATTGTGAATAGAATAATTGACATTCTTTTTTAAAAGACTCATGAATAGTTGTATGTTTCATAGTATACAGTTAGGAAGGTAAAAGTGAACTAGACCTGTGAGTCCAAAGAGAAGTGAGCTCACAGTTACCTCTTGTAAAGTATAAGACCTTATAAAGGAATGGGAAGTCCTGCCACATCACATCTGCCTTGCGTTTATTACTGCCCTTGCACCTGCTGGTAAATATGCCAGTAACTTTTATTATTGATACTCATGATTACCAACCATAGTCTCATTTATTTAAAAAAAAAACCTATTTAAATAGGGACAAAAAATTTTGGAATATGTCAGTTTTACCCACACACTCCTCACCACCCTGATAAGATGGTTTATTATATTCTGTTGCTGTTGACCTTTGAAGTTTCCACTTGCTGTGCAGAATTCTTTTTAAAATTCAAATTTTAAGGGCTAGAGATGTGACTAGTTAAGAGCACTGGCTGCTCAGGTTCAGTCCCCATGGCAGCTCACAACTGTCTGTGATTACAGAAGATGAGATGCTCTCTTAGACATTCATTCAAGTGAAACGGCCACAGCTCTGGCTGCTCAGGTTCAGTCCCCATGGCAGCTCACAACTGTCTGTAATTACAGTTCCAGAAGATGAGATGTTCTCTTAGACATTCATTCAAGTGAAACGGCCATTTGCATAAAACAAATAAAATTATTTTTTTTATTTTTAGACAAGGTTTCTCTGTGTATTCTCCCTGGCTGTCCTGGAACTCTGTAGACTAGGCTGGCACCTGCCTCTGCCTTCTTGACACCTATAAATTTTAATTTCTAAGAAAAATGAAGAAAGATATAATTGGAAATTAAATCTTAGCATCAGCCTTTTATCTCCAGATTGATAACATATCTTAGTATTTATTTAGTTTTTGTTTTTTGTTTTTTGTTTTTTCTTTCTCGACAGGGTCTCTCTATAGCCCGGGCTGTCCTGAAACTCACTCTGTAGACCAGGCTGGCCTCGAACTCAGAAATCCGCCTGTTCCTGCCTCCCAAGTGCTGGGATTAAAGACATGCGCCACCACTGCCCGGCCTTATTTAGCATTCTTAATTGTATGTCATTAGCATCTGATTAGTGTTGAGTTTATGAAGGCTTCTTAAGTATCTACTTGAATAGTTGTGATCTTTAAAAAGTTGGAGAGATGGCATAGTGGTTGAATACCTGCTGCTTTTGCAGGACCTAAGCGCAGATCCCTGCATCTACGTTAGGTGACACCCCCAAACACCCCTTGGCTTCCAAGGGCATCTGCACGAATGTGGTGCATAGAAGACTCACTAGGGTACACACACTAAAAACTGAATTTAAGAATAACTCTTTAAGTTGGGCGGTGGTGGTGCACACCTTTAATCCCAGCACTTAGGAGGCAGAGGCAGGCGTATTTCTGAGTTCGAGGCCAGCCTGGTCTACAGAGTGAGTTCCAGGACAGCCCGGGCTACACAGAGAGACCCTGTCTCGAAAAAAACAAAACAACAAAAAAGAAAGAATAACTCTTTAAAAAAATTATTTAAGGGATTTTCAGCTGTTCTTTAGCAAGCTTTCCCTAAAGCAGTGGGGAATTGTGACTGTTCAAGTTCCCTTCTAATCATTATGTAGAAGACAAAAAGATAAGATGTCCCATGGGAGGTGCAGGGGTAGATAGCTCAGCGGTTAAGAGCTCCAACCAGGATTTAGTTCCTAATAGCCTGTAACTCCAAGTAATCTTGATGCCTCTGACCTCTTATGGGTTCCTCTGTGTGTGCACACATATGTATTATATGAATACACATAATTAAAAATAAAATGTTTTTAAAAGAAGACTGGGGTTTGAGTTGGGCATTTAAGAGTGGGTGTGATTTTGATAGACAGATAATAGGAACAAGTAACAGCTTGAGCTCTTGAGTCTAATCTTAGAAAAGTATTTAGGTAAAACACTGTAGAGAACTCTATAAGAAAAGTCGGTGGGAAGGAAAGCATTGATGTTTTTGAGAGTCATAGGCAAATTTTAATTTCGGTAGTGATACAGCAATCAGGCCAAGGTAGCCATCTCAGGATGTATTAATTCAGTGTCAGTGGAGATGAGGAATCTTGAGCTGACAGAATCAGTCACAAGAGGTCTTGTGGAAAGTCATAAGAGATTTAACAAAGACAAGGTAGTTATAAAGTGGGTTTAGGCTTACAGATTGTGGAGCTAAAACGAGACAAGTGTAGGACTGGTGCTGTCATCCAAGAGAGGGGATACTGAAGGCAGAGCAGGTTTACCATGGAGAGACAGAGTCTGGAAAGGTGGCTCAACATTAAGAGAATTTGTTCTTGCAGATGGCTTGGGTTCAGTGGTAGCTTGCAACTGCCCTTAACCCTGGTTCCAGGGGATCTGACCTCCTTTTCTGGCTTCACAGGCACATGATGGACTAACATAAGCAGGCAAAACATACAGAAAAAAAAGAATCTTTAAAAAAAACCTTTCTATATAGTGAATAATAGTTAAAATCTTGAGTAGAGAAGTACAGATTATTATTTGAGGCACTGGTTTCTTAAAATTGTAAACATGTAAACATGCATGTTCAGACATCTTTTTGGTTTAATATTTAGGAGATTTTCAGAAGGGTTCATGATCCCCAGTATGGGTAAGAACCACTGACAGAACAGGAAGAATAAAAGCATCACTAGCAAGAAGAGAGAAACCTGAGCTGGGCTGTATAGAAGAATGGCAAGTGTCAGAATAAAGAAATGGAAGTTGTGTTCTAGGTTGTCTTCTAAGATAACTGTTTTAAAGAAGATCTTTTTAAAAATATTTATTTATTTACTTATTTTATGTAGTGAGTACACTGTCACTGTTTTTAGACACTAGAAGAAGGCATCAGATCCTATTACAGGTGGCTGTGAGCTATCATGTAGTTGCTGGGAATTGAACTCAGGACCTGGAAGAGCAGTCAGTGCTCTTAACCTCTGAGCTATCTCTCCAGCCCCCTAAAAAAAGTCTTAAAAAAAAAAAGTGTGTCTGTCTGTCTGTCTGTCCTTGAAGGCCACAGGCATTTGTGAGTCACTTGATGGCAGTACTGAAAACCAAGCTGGAGTTCTCTGCAAGAACAGCAACCACCCTCAAACCCTGAGCTATTGCTCCAGCCCTGGATGAATTTAATTTTGAAATACTGTGTTTCTGTACGTGACAGAGGGGTTGGGAGATTCTTAATTTAAGGTCAGGCTAATGGAAGGGGTGAGAGGAGGAGCTCTGAGAAGTAAAGGGGTGTGGGGTATCTAGGTATCAACAAAAGGCAAGTTATAGAGAGGCCAGGAACTGTGGTGAAAGTATGGTGAAAGGGACCAGGAAACCAAGACTTGATATTGTCACAGGGACCCAGGGATCTGGTAGTCATTAAAAGGTTATTACAGGAATCATGCAGCCTGAAGACAAGCCATTATTATTCCTTACACTTAAATAAAGAGATGGTTCCTGTCAGAATTCTATTATGTTCCTTTTCTTTATAGTGCAGTATTCCATTCTTTTAAGATTTTGTGTTTAAAGCATTCACTTCTATGTCACTTATTTTGCATTTTGTTTTGATGTGTGTGTGTTTTAAGAAGTATGCATCATCTAACCCTCAAGCAAAGCTGATGAGCTTTTCTTTTGTTCTTTCCTATGAGGTGACTGAGAGCATTTAGGAAGCTTGCTCTGGGACATAGCTAGAAGCATGAGTCAGTGGGACACGACAGAGGCCAGGAGTATAACTCAGTGGAAGAG